CGTGCGTTAATCTAATGCAGAGGGTCTGGGGATACATTAGTATAGCTTGTAGGATATCATGGAATCGTGAACTTTAAGCATGAATTTAATAAAGATTAGCATATGAATTATCTTCATATCACAATTATCTTGAAAACACATTACTGACACACTGCTCATAACAGAGATAGAAATAGCCTTTATTTTCCCACAGCCTTGGAAATTCCAGTGTGTGTACAAGTGGAAGTTCAAGAAGGCAAGTGGAAGCAAACAGGTTCACATTTAAAAAAAAAATAAAGACTGTAAAAACATCAACATTTTAAATCAAAATTAGTACATAAAAAATAGTATCGATTTCATGGAAATGCCTGCATAAAACAAAAACAAGAACAACATGAATGTACAATAATCGGCATTTTCAGAATAAGATCTAAGGGAATCCAAGCTTGGTGAAAATTAAGTAGGCAACAATGAGAGAACCCCGGACATAGAATAATTAAAATATAATTAAAACACCGTTTATGTTATTGTTTTCGTCAGGCAGCCGCGCGGACAACCCGCCAAGCCTTTAGTTTGCACATGCGTAGATGGAACGTTCTCTTTCTCGGTGATCGCAATGGCGGACGCAGAGTGAGTGTTTTTCTCCGTCATAGAATCAAAGCCCATCCAGACGTCTTATTTTCTCTACTTAGTGTTTTATGGCATATACAAGCCTTTTAGGTCTTGTACAATTACATGACTGAAATAGTTCTAGAAGATGTCTTGTATTTTGTGCTGTTTTATGATTAGTCAGTTGTCGTCGGCAGAACAGTCAGAACATGGCTGCATTTTGGGCTACAATAACTCCAGAAATGTTTTTACTAAACCCAGCGAGATCAGTCAAAATTAAAGATGTAACTCACAGAATGTCCTTCTTAGTGTTTATTTGTAGAGAATTGTCATTTCCATAGAAGCCGGTAAAGAAGCTGAGCTAGCTTGTTAGCACTGCAAGGATGCTAATGTGTCGCTACTTGGCTGCTGCCACGTTAGGCGCAACGTGGGTGTTTTATCGACACTAATTTAATTTATTTGTGTTGACAGAAAAAAGGTTCCGGCGGTCCCTGAGAGCCTTTTAAAAAGGCGAAAGGCCTACGCCGCCATGAAGGCCATGCGTATCAAGAAATTGTTAACTGAAAAAAAGGTAACTTGCTCTGAAGAATCATGCTACTTCATATTTTCTATTTTCTCAGTGGTGCTCAAGTCCAGTCCTCAAGAGCTACTATCCTGCTACTATTCGATGTAACCATTTTTTACACACCTGAATCAAATGAATGGCTCATTACCATGCCTCTGCTGAGCTAAATGAGGGGATTGAGGCTTTCGATTCTGGTGTGCTAGTGAAAGGATGTGCATCTAAAAGTTAAAGGATGGAAGCTTTTGAGGACTGGACTTGAACACCTCTGTATTATCTGGTGGTGGCTTTGTGAATTGTTTCAGCATGTCTCTCTTCTATCTAGGCCCGCAGGCAGACTAGGAAACTCATCTACAAGAGGGCCGAAAGGTACCATAAGGAGTACCGTCAGATGTACAGGCGTGAGATCCGCATGGCTCGTACGGCTCGCAAAGTGGGAAACTACTATGTTCCTCCTGAGCCCAAGCTGGCCTTTGTCATCAGAATCAGAGGGTAAGTTGTTCCTCATGCTGATGTAGAGCAGTGTGGACATCTGTATGGATTGCTGCCTTTATAAAATGTTCTCCTGGTGTTTGTTTTGATTATGTTTGGACTCTGCTGAAAAACGGAAGTATCTGTAATGGCAGGACACTGTGGCCTTCCATTTTTTTAGTCTTAAATATGGAAGATGTAAATTAATTTTAAACTTGGTCATAAGGCCATGCCTGATATTATTTTATCTGTTGAAAGAACTGCCTTGTACAGGGTTCCTGCAGATCCTGAAAAGTCTTAAAGGGCATTGAATTCTTCAATATAAAAATAAGGCCTTAATCGGTATTAAAATGTCTTAAAACTTTCATATGTCTTGAAATTGTCCCCAAGTCATAAATAATTTTATTTTTGGAATTCATATCAAAAATGAAATTTTTTTTACATTTACTGAACAGCTTAGCTGGAACCATCATTAGTTCCATGCTGACAGCAAAACTAATAAAAAACTTATGTTGCAAAAATACCATGGGGTGATGCTCAAATAATATGGGGAAATGGAAATATCCAGCCAAGTTTCTTCATGGCCAAGAACAGTACAAATTAATGTTTATGAGGAATGGTGTATTTTGAGCAAGAAGTCATTCAAACTCTGCATGGTGGGAATCAAAGCTATGGAGTCAGACATGTGAAGAGTCAAAAAAAGCACCAAATCTCCAGATAGTGTTTGGCGGTACGCCTACAATGAAAGCAGAGCTATTAGGGATCAAAACAAAGCTTGTGAATTCCATTCATTAGTTGTTAAAAATACGTTATTGGTGTGTTTTTAGCCCTCTTTCTATATGGAAAGTTTTTCAAAATTGTAAACATTTCTACTGGGCCAGAAAGTAGTGCTTTGATAAAATAAGCATCGGGTTAAATTTGTCGCAACCAGGTTTTCTTTTTTTTTTATTGTGAAGTTTTATTTCAAGGGATGAAAAAAGTCTTAGCCTTGAATTTAACTTGCCTTATGTTGTAGGAATATGAATAGAATCACCTGCATTTAATGGCCATATTCCCAACAAAAATACATCTATCCCTTGGTTATTTGATTATGTTGACCATACTGCTCTCCATCAGTCTTTCTAGTCATTGTTATTCTATTTTCCAATGTAATATTGTTGATAATTGGTCATTTTCTCCATCCATTGGTTTATCTAGCATAAAAAGGGGGTGCCATAGCTATGGCTATTGGTCACTTGAGGGTGATTTGTTAATCTCAAATGGTTTAAGAACACGATCAAACGGCAACTTAAGAACTGTTGATCTCACTGCAAATAAAACTAATGTAGTAATCTCCATAACATGTCTGTATTGAAGAGCTTAAGGCATAGTTGTTTTTAATTCTATCACTGAAATTATTTTGAGAACAATCCTTTGTGTTGAAAGATGGTCCTTCAGCAGCAACAGGTATTTTAGAAAGTGCCTTTTTGAAATAGCAATGCATGTTAAGTCAAGTAAAGTGGTTAATGATGAACTTTCTTTCCCCGACTTATCGACAATGGTGAAAGAATAGTTGCTTAAGCCAAACTCTTTTCTGAAACCACTTTTAATGCTGCGTTTTGTAATGTACAACTAGTTGTTGCTCTTTATGCTAACTGTCAACTTTTCCTTCTCAGTATCAATGGTGTCCCACCCAAGGTCCGCAAAGTTCTTCAGCTGCTCCGTCTCCGCCAGATCTTCAATGGCGTATTCGTTAAGCTGAACAAGGCCTCCATCAACATGCTCAGGATTGCAGAACCTTACATTGCTTGGGGGTAAGAGTTTTTGATTATTTAAATCTAGTTATATATTTTGGAATGTGGTTAATGATGCTGAACCTTTTTTCCCCATCATATCGACCGTGGTGATGCTCTGAAACTAAGCCAGTTTTGTCTGAAACCACATTCCAAGCAATCTTGTTTTAACTCCTTACTGGTTGAGACGGTTTTGTTTTAGCATTGAGAAACAGTTAAGAAAAATATGCTTCTGTTAGTACTTCATGACACAGAATTCAAATATTTCCCAACAGTTAATCTGCAATTGTGCTTTGGGAAATGAGGAATTGAACGATTCTCCCTTGGATGTCAAAAGGCTGCTTTGAATGATCCTTGATTCTTCAGCAGGCACGGTGGTGCATTATGTTTTTAAGACCTGTTTATTCTTAATTCATAGTTAATGCAAAGATCTAACTTAAGAATACAAGCCACCAAAATTCAAGATTTCCATTTCTGTGAGGCTTGAAATCAGACGTATCCAAGAGTAGGGTAGTGTTTACACAAACTTGAGATTAGGTGTTTTCACAAGGTTTAATTATGAGTATTTCGATAAAAATTCTGCTATTGCTCTAATGAGCAGTCGGCTCTTGCAAACATTTGACATCAACCAATCCTTAACTTTAATTTAACCCTTAAAATCTCAGATTATCAAGCTTAGTCTAAAACTTTTCTTAATTGTGGCACAAATCTGCTGTGTGTATCAAGAGGCATGTATTTCTATTATAAGTGCAGTTACTGATTGGAATCTATTTAGATTTAAGATTTGACAAATGACTCAAAGCATTTTTTTGGCTTATTTATGATGAGCACAGGAACATGGAAAACTAGAGGTGCACATCTGGATTGCCTAGATTTAAATGATCTTTGACCCATACATGTTAGAAATCAAATGCATCTACCTCTGCAAAAGTAAGAAATCTGGCTTTGCTAATGCTCTATACTTCAAAAGTAGACCACTAACTTGAACTGTTAAAACAAATTGGTGCGATTTCCTACACATTCTACCACTTCACTGATGGCTTTTAAACCAATGAATGATTTATAAATTATATCTTTAAAAAAATTAGATTTGACTAAAGAGAGCTTAAAAAAAGCTGCTGTTCATAAATGTTTTGATGTAATATAAAATATCCTGTGCAGTGTTGTTTTGTGACCTGAACTAATAAGCAGAAAACATTTTTATTATTGCAGCAGTTTGTGTCCAATGCCTTGGAGTACACAGTTGGGTTTATTGGTTTAAAAAGCTTAACAATTAATCTAACCTTCAGTTGTATATCGCATTAGTTTAATATATGAATATTTCCCAATGTTTTTTTGACATTAATAATTTACTTTTCTGATTACACTCAGATATCCCAACCTGAAGTCTGTGCGTGAACTGATCTACAAACGTGGCCATGGCAAGGTCAAGAAGATGCGCATTGCCCTCACAGACAACGCTCTGATAGATAAAGCCCTTGGTATGAGCCTCTTTGCCACACACGCAACTTCAAATAAACACTTTACTAATTTTTGTTGCTAATGAATATTGCGTATCAGATATTTCCCTACAATCTCTTAGATTTTCCTGTTGGGTCCTGGCACTTAATGTGGTTAATGATGTACACTTTTTTTCCCCGTCTTATCGACTGTGGTGAGAAGAAAACAGCAAATTTAGCCAGTTGTATCTGAAACCACATGCCAGCTATAGGTTTTGTGTTGCTTATGAAATCTTAACGACCCCTTTTTGTATTGAGACAGTCACACTCATTTAAACATAATGAAGATATTGGTCTGTCCCAAATCTTTTTGTGTAAATTTGGGATTGTCAAAGGAAAAAAAACACCAGGGTTTCAAAATTATCAGCTGCATCTCCCCAGTACCTGCAATTGAAAAGGGCAGTTAGTTTGTACTTATAGGTGTAATCTGAAATATATTGGCAGCAGTAAAATGTTGGTTTTATTCTTCAGGCAAATACGGTATCATCTGTATTGAGGACCTTATTCATGAGATCTACACAGTCGGCAAGAACTTCAAGTCTGCCAACAACTTCCTGTGGCCGTTTAAGCTGTCCTCACCTCGTGGTGGTATGAACAAGAAGACCACACACTTTGTGGAGGGAGGCGACGCTGGCAACAGGGAGGACCAGATCAACCGGCTGATCCGAAGGATGAACTAAATTTATGGTATGTTTTAGTAATGCCATACAATTCTTACAATTCCCCTACGGTGGTAAATGATGCATAATCTTTTTTCCCCGTCTTATCGACTATGGTGAAAATACGTTGTTAATAAGCCAACCATGTCTGAAACCACATCTTGGTAATAACTGCCTTTATCACCTTGAGTATTTTTTTTTTTTTTTTTAACAGATTTTTCTTTTTCTCTTTCAGGTTTTCTAAGGACTCAAAAATATACAATAAAAACCTGTTAAAAACTTTCTGGTTTACATTTGTGTCATTGTACCTGTTGCCCCTTTTTGTGCTGTATCAGCTTGGTCCAATTTAAATAGAAAGCAGTTTGCATAGGTCATGTATATAAACACCTAGAATTGCAAAGTCTGTCCTGAGATGAAACTTGCCAAGAAAAGACTAAGATATTTTGACTGTTATAGTTGGTCATAAAATCCTTCAAGAGGTCAAAAATGTTTTCTGTAATACTTACAAAGCAATCTGAGTACTGGTTATCCTGCTGTTCTTTACAAATAAAATATCCAGTATCAAATGGACTATTTACAGGTTCTCTAAAAAAACAAAAGAATCGTTAAAAATTTTTTTAAATGACTTTTCAAATGAAAGTTTACACCTAAATATTCAAACTTATTTTGTAATTCTATTTAAACAGACTGGAAATAATTCCTGAGTTGAATCAGTCATGGGGTTTGGACTCATGAGCGTTATTTATGCTGTATGTAGAAAACCAATCAGAAAAATAGATATTTTAACATCTATTTAAATGTAATTAAAAGATAGGACAAATTAAAGCTTGCATTTGGGAATTAGGACAAATTATGTGAAATTTGTATCAAACGACCTTCCGTAAAACAAAAAAATCAAATATTTGGACATTAATGCAGGAAGGATACTTTTTTTTTTTTTGCCAGTTACAGTAAATGCAGCACATACATGATATGTCCAAATCAGAGAAGTTTGTGTGGAAGTGACTCATTGTTTTATTGCCTATTGGCTCTGATCCTATGAAGAGTTGCTACAAGAGAATTTTAATTTAGGCCTGTATATACGGAATAAGGAAACATTTTCTTTCATGGAGGCTGGCAGTTTGCAGAGAGGGAAACAATGGAACAGGTAAACTAAGAAAACTAATTTAAAAATTATGAGAATATCTGACAATCATAACGTGTGAGAAGCTCCACTCAGTAGATCATTGCTCTCCCTACCCTTTATGCCCCCATTCTTTGCCCTTGCTACTTTGATAAATATACACATATATTTGTGGCTGGGAAAAAAGCATCTGCACCAGATTTAGTCTTAATCCTGAAGGTTTCTTCCACCTCATGAGAATTGGTGTAAAACTTAAATTTCTATGAAATGTATCCAAACCTAATATTTTCTTATTCTGTGTATATATAAAAGCCCAGATGAAAAAGGCAGAACTTGAAATATTACCATCTCATAATTCCTCTCCATCAATTTATGTTTTTTTCTATTGTAATTTTTTTTAAATTTAGATTACGCCTTTCATTGAGAGAAGAGGAGAAAGGTAAATAAGACATATCTGCTGTAACCTAGGCCGTACAAATAACACTGTCTTGTGTTAATATAAGTGTGTAATTTCAGAATCTAACACCTAGAAAGACTTGAATCAACATATGGGCTGGGTGGTGCAGCTGAAAAATCTCAGTCCGTGTGTTAGAATAAAGGAAAAAATGTTAATTTCCCAAGTATTGTGTTAATTTTAGTGAGTGTCAATGACTGATAATCTAGGTAATTTGGACTCTGTGCGTAACCATATTTCTGGGCTCTGGTGGGAAACATAATAAACTAGACACTTTATGAAGTTGTGTCAATATCCTGTTTAAAGGTGCTGTTCAGATTTGGGCTAAAAGGACAGAGAGGACGAGGTCTTTAATCCATCTGCAACATAAATATATCTGCAACAAAAATGCTGCTTGAAAATGAATTTGGAGACATTTGCAAAATGCCTTTTTGTTCTTCTTGCTGCAAACATACACTCACCGGCCACTTTATTAGGTACCCCATGCTAGTAACGGGTTGGACCCCCTTTTGCCTTCAGAACTGCCTCAATTCTTCGTGGCATAGATTCAACAAGGTGCTGGAAGCATTCCTCAGGGAGTTTGGTCCATATTGACATGATGGCATCACACAGTTGCCGCAGATTTGTCGGCTGCACATCCATGATGCGAATCTCCCGTTCCACCACATCCCAAAGATGCTCTATTGGATTGAGATCTGGTGACTGTGGAGGCCATTTGAGTACAGTGAACTCATTATCATGTTCAAGAAACCAGTCTGAGATGATTCCAGCTTTATGACATGGCGCATTATCCTGCTGAAAGTAGCCATCAGAAGTTGGGTACATTGTGGTCATAAAGGGATGGACATGGTCAGCAACAATACTCAGGTAGGCTGTGGCGTTGCAGCGATGCTCAATTGGTACCAAGGGGCCCAAAGAGTGCCAAGAAAATATTCCCCACACCATGACACCACCAGCCTGAACCGTTGATACAAGGCAGGATGGATCCATGCTTTCATGTTGTAGACGCCAAATTCTGACCCTACCATCCGAATGTCGCAGCAGAAATCCAGACTCATCAGACCAGGCAACGTTTTTCCAATCTTCTATTGTTCAATTTCCATGAGCTTGTGCAAATTGTAGCCTCAGTTTCCTGTTCTTAGCTGAAAGGAGTGGCACCCGGTGTGGTCTTCTGCTGCTGTAGCCCATCTGCCTCAAAGTTCGACGTACTGTGCGTTCAGAGATGCTCTTCTGCCCACCTTGGTTGTAACGGGTGGTTATTTGAGTCACTGTTGCCCTTCTATCAGCTCGAACCAGTCTGGCCATTCTCCTCTGACCTCTGGCATCAACAAGGCATTTCCGCCCACAGAACTGCCGCTCACTGGATGTTTTTTCTTTTTCGGACCATTCTCTGTAAACCCTAGAGATGGTTGTGCGTGAAAATCCCAGTAGATCAGCAGTTTCTGAAATACTCAGACCAGCCCTTCTGGCACCAACAATCATGCCACGTTCAAAGTCACTCAAATCACCTTTCTTCCCCATACTGATGCTCGGTTTGAGCTGCAGGAGATTGTCTTGACCATGTCTACATGCCTACTGAGTTGCCGCCATGTGATTGGCTGCTCAGAAATTAAGTGTTAACGAGCAGTTGGACAGGTGTACCTAATAAAGTGGCCGGTGAGTGTATTGCTAGTTGTCTTTCCTGCTGCCCTGTGCAGGGTTTAAATCTACTGCCTGCATGACAGTCGGAGAGCCCAACCACCACACCGTAGGATGTGAACCACCACTTAGACTGCTTAATTAAAACCACTTATTCACCATTACATTGTCTAATAAAACTTATTAAAATGTCTACCCGGAATGACTGACGTTTGGGTGAAAAGGTAAGAAACTTGACAATCTAAGAACTTTATCCCAACTGTGAAGCAGGGAGATAATCTGTTCCTGGAGGAACTGGTCCACCTTATAAGTTAGACAACTTAATTCAGAGAGAACATTACATTAAAATGTTGGAAGTTGAAGCTGAAGTTAAAATCTGATGGACCTCACAAAGCCCAAGTCCTGCAGAGAGTTTGTGGGCAGAGCTGAAAAAGCTCAGAGGACTCAATTTAGTATCCCGCCTTTCTCACAACAGTTCATATGGAAGGAATGATCCAAAACTGCTCATAAAGTTTAGTCTGATTTTGTGTGTCAATCTTTTTTCAACTGTATTTTCAAGCTATGACGTCTAAAATGTTATTAACATGGAATATGATTTTTATGCTTGAATTAATTTAAAAAATCTCAAGGGGAACGAAAATATTTCCAACACTGTAGCTTATATTTTGTCATATAGTGGCTCTATTAATATTAGTTTTCACCGTTAAATGAAAATATATACATGGTATTTAGTATTGAAATATATATATATGAATATGAAAATAAATAAATCCAACATTTTGTTTCATTTTCACAACACATTAACAGCCAATAAAGCGTTCATCATTTTATCTCGAATTTTTTTTGTTCTTATTATATAAAGCTTAAATATGTGTTTACTCCTAAACTCTTAGACATTAGTGTGCCTTAGGTTTCCTTGAATAAAGAATTAACTGATTCTTATTGTCACTTTTTAAAATACATTTCTTCAATGTATATAGGAGATCAGGGGTGTCTGGGAATATTGATCAAGGGAATTACATCTTTGGGGGAAGCTTTCTTTTAGAAAATGAGTCCCTGTATCACTATCCGCTTTCAGGAGCCTGTGGCTTGCATGCAAACTTCCCACCAGTAGGTGGAGCTGTCATCACACAATAGCATGCTGCACTATTTTGGTAGAACAGGGGGGGCCAAGTCCAGATCTCTAGAGCTCCCAGACTCCAAATTTTAAAAGCAGTTCCTCTAACACACCTGAACCAAATGACTGAATTCTCCCTGCATGTCAGATACACACCTTAGACACTGTTAAAGAAAAATTATTATTTTTTAGACTTTATTACAGTTAATCT